GGTGCTGGGATAACTGGGACAGCCACATGCCAAAGAATGAACCTGGACCACTTTCTTACCAAATACAAAAATAAACTCAAAATGGATTAAAGACCTAAATGTGAGACCTGAAACCATAAAATTCCTATAAGAAAGCAGAGGCAATAATTTCTCTGACATCGGCCGTGGCAACATTTTTCTAGATATGTCTCTAGAGGCAAGGGAAACAAAAGCTTTCTGGGACTACATTAAAATAAAAAGTTTCTGCACAGTGGTGGAAACAATCAACAAAACTGAAAGACCTCCTACTGACTGAGATAAGATATTTGCACAGGACATATCCAATGAGGGGTTAGTACCCAAAATATATGAAGGGCTTATGGAACAACACCAAAACCACAAATAATCCAACTAAAAAAATGGACAGAAGACATAAACGGACATTTCTCCAAAGAAGACATCCAGATGACCAACAGACACATGAAAAGATGCTCAACATCACGGAAATACAAATCAAAACCACAAGGAGATACCACCTCACACCTGTCAGAATGGCTAAAATCAAAAACACAAGAAACAAATGGTGGGGATGTGGAGAAAAAGGAACCCTCCTGCACTGTTGGGGGGAATGCAAACTGGTGCGGCCACTGTGGGGAGACCGTAGAAACAGAATCACCATAGGATCCAGTAATTCCACTTCTGAGTATTTACCCAAAGATTGTGAAACTCATAGACATATGCACCCCTATGTTTATTGCAGCATTATTTGTAATAGTCAAATTATGGAAGCGCTCAAGTGTGCAATGATAGATGAATGGATAAAGAAGATGGGGTGTGTATACACCCACAGACACACAATCGAATATTACTCAGCCATAATATAGAATGAAATCTTGCCATCTGCAACGATATGGATGTAGAAGGTATAATGCTAAGTGAAATACACCTGGAGGAAGACAAATACTATACGATTTCACTCATGTGTGGAATTAAAGACACAAAACAAACAAACAAGAAACAAATGAAAAAAAACACTCCTAACTCTAGAGAACAAACTGGTGGTTACCAGAGGGGAGGTGGGTGGGGGGATGGGGGAAACCCGTGATGGGGATGAAGAGTACACTTATCATGATGAGCACTGAGTAACGTATGGAATTGTTGAATCACTATCTTGTACCTGTGAAACTAATAGAACACCGTACATTAACTTGTACTGGAGTTTTAAAAAATAAGAAAAGATTCAGGTCTTCGTTTGCACCTGCACGGTGAAAGGTTAACAAAACAATCTCAGGGTGCCTGGGTGGCTCAGGCAGTTAAGCATTTGCCTTCAGCTCAGGTAATGATCTCAGGGTCCTGGGATCGAGTCCCGCATCAGGCTCCCTGCTCAGCAGGAGTCTGCTTCTCCCTCTGCACCCCCTCCTGCTCATGCTCTCGCTCTCTCTCTCTCACAAAAATAAATAAAAGTGTATCTCGAGGGCCATTCACACAGTCTTTCTAGAGGCTTTGCCAACTCACAGAATGTTACTTACTGATGGAGCTTGCTTGTTTGTCCCTTAAACAAGGGCTTTAAATCAATAGCTCCTATTTTTACCCATATTCTTTCCACAATCAAAAATACCGATTGCATTCCTTGTTTTTCTCAAAAAGCGTTCCTCATATGCTTTCTTTTTCCTCCAAATTTTTCTCAAGCTGGCATTTCCCCTTTGCTTATTCTATTCCTAGCTTTTCTTTTCTTTTTTTTAGAGAGACAGAGAGAGTGCACGAGCCAGGGAGGGGCACAGGGACAGGGAAAGAAAGAATCCCAAGCAGGCTCCCTGCTCAGCGCAGAGCCATGATCCATGACCCTGAGATCATGACCCGAGCAGAAATCAAGAGCCGGATGCTCAACCGACTGAGCCGCCCAGGTGGCCCTATTCCTAGCTTTTTTATTTTGTCCAAGACACTGTGAGATCCTTGGGGGCCAGGTTTGCCCCTCTGGTCCCCTCACCCCACACAGCTCCCAGCATAAGGCCTGGCAGAGTTGTGGGAGGTCATTGGTCATTATTACCAGAACCAAGTACGGCTCTATCCAAATAATGCAGTATTATTCAGCCATAAAAAGACTGAGGTTCTGACTCAAGCTACGATGTGGATGAACCCCGAAAACATGATGCTAGGTGAAAGAAGCCAAACACAAAAGGACAAGCGTTTGTCCATTTAGATGAAATGTCCAGAACAGGCAAATCCACAGAGACAGAAAGTAGATCAGTGGCTGAGGGGAAGGAGGAATGGGAAGGGGTTGAAAATAGGTATAGGGTTTGCTTTGGGAGTGATGACGATGTTCTGGAATTAGATAACTGCACAACTTTGCGAATATACTAACACTCAATGAAGTTTAAAGTAACTTTAAGAGGATGAATTTTATGGTATGTGAATTAGATCTCAATTTTTAACAAAAGCACGGGAGGGAGGCAAAGGCAACATGGGACTAGGGCCAATCTCTGCAGCTACAAGTCTGACGGACTTCACTAGGGAATACCAACACCAGCGCTTGTGTAAACATCCAAACGCCAAGATTTTTAAGATGTTTCCTTATTGCACTATTTCCCCAAATATAAATTGACTAACCAAATGGAGTTCAAATTTCAAAGACAAAGTCTCTGTCACGCGGGAATTTCTCCATTCCGTCAGCCTTGCTGAGGGCTTGCACTGAGGAGGAGGGAAGGGAAGGAAGCTTCGAGACAGTGGCCAGAAGGAACCCGTGCCCTGTTTCTATTGGCTCTGTTTGCTTTCTCGAAAAGCTCTGTGTGAATACTCCCGACCTGCAGCGCAGACCAATGAAAGCAGGGGAGACACTGACTGGTCTTGTTCCCTGGCGGTGACTGGAGCTGGAGGCACACTGGGATGGTTTTTATTGTCATTTCTAATGTTTTACTTGACTTCCAAAGATGGGCTTGACCACTTTGAAACACCAGGATGGGAATCCAGCAAAACTGAATAGATCAAGATCAAATCTTTTGGCTCATTCCCCAGGTGGCCCCATGCTAACAGCAACTCTCGGTGTTCTCTCATCCTTGACTAAGGATTTGCACCAGAGAGAAAGTCGATAAGCACATGGTCTCTGCCTTTTTGCTTTAGCCAGAAATACTGTTTTTCTTCGAGGCTTCCAATTACAATCAGACAATACTCATCTCAGAGAATCAATCTATCAATTCATCACTATATATTTTGGCCCCGAGAATAAACCAACCTGGTCATCTGAAAACAAACCCTCCTTCAATGCAGCTGAATTGAAGGAATGGAAAGAAACAACCTCTAAAGCCATTTCCAAATAGCCTCGGTGTTATCTTCCCTTCTCTCAAATTTCAACATTATTTCCGTACAAACTTGTCTGGATTGTGTGGTGTTTGTCTTTGACTTCACACGTGAGTGTGTGTGTGTGTGTGTGTGTGCGCGCGTGCACTTAGCTCAGACAACACGTTGGGGAAAGCAAATTTTTGGATCCAAGCTTTAGGACAGCCTAGTTATTCTGAGATACTCGTTCTGAACTGGGGGGTCACTGTGCATCCAGGGGATATTTGTTGATGTCTGGAAACAGTGCTGGTTGTCACCATCAGGATGGGTGCTCCTGGCAGTGAGTGGGCAGAGGCCACATCCTCTGCCCCGCATCCTACAGTGCCCAGGCCGTCCTCAGAACAAAGAATCCCCCAGCCCTAGATGCCAACGGTGCTGAGAATGAGAGACGCGCTCGGAAGACAGACACAGTAGATGGGGCGAGAGGTTGACGGAGGAGGCTGGTCCATCTCTGCCAGCCCCAGCATCAGCTGAGGAAAGGTCAAGAAGCCTCTATGTCCCAGAACACACTCAAGTCGACCTTCTTCAACATTCTCTCTGGCTCTCTTTTTAAACAACCAGTGGGCTACCATAACATTATAGCTACCAAAGGCCTTCTAAGGATCAATCTGCTTGTAGATTACAAATGATTAGGTCAGTTAAAGCTCTGCAGAACTCAGAGTGGTGATTTTCAAACTCCTCCTCATCAAAAGATACATTTGGGCTAAAACAAAGCTTTACAAGGAACCTCAACAGGGAGAAGACTGGTACATTAGCAAAAAGTCGTTTTGTAAGTTACAATCTGGACTGTCATCAATTAGAACGATAAGGCTGCTTTTGTCAACACAAAACTCTGAAAACCAAACACTGAGGTCTGCAAGTGACCTGCAAGTTTCCTGTGTTTTGATTTCATCGCATCTTATCCAGGAAATTCAGTTTCGCAGGGCTAAGGAGCTGGAAATGTACAGTTTTAAGGAGCTCATCTTCCCAGCTCTGGTAGCAGTCGCTTAAACCGAGAGGGCAGGGGAATGTCACTGAGCTCCACGAACACGTGAGCTAACCTGTTGGACAAGTTAACAGGTTGCCGGGCCTGGGTGGGTTAGTATTTGGTCACCAACACATTTCAGTACGCACAACTCTTCCCACAGATTTTCGTGTACATCTTGGAATTGAATCATTTCCTAGATGTCTAAAGGACCACACTCGGGTTCCAGAGAACCCAGTTTGATGTCTGCAGAGCAGTTTGAAGGGCACGGCCCTACAGTCGTTAAGTGAGAAGGACAGATCCGAAGAGCCCGCCCTGGGGTGGGCTTTTCACCTGCAACGGCCCCACGTGAGCCGGGCAAACCAAACTGCACCCAGAACCACAGAGGACAGTCACACCATCCATGGCCTTGCAGCAAGGGCCTGGGACGGGTGTGGAGTGACAATCGATGTCCTGTTCATGAAGCCATCCAGCCAAGGCAGGGACCACTTACAAGTACGCAAGGCTACCGTGCTGAGCAACTGAGCGGCAGGTGCCATTAAAATGTTAAAGAGAGAGGCGGGTGATAACATGCCAGGTTAGCATCAGTGTCGGCTGCTTTCACCCTCCACTCACAGCAGTGACGGACGCCTCTCCCACACCACGTCACCTCCTTCTTTGATACCCGACTTCCAGGCTGGCCCTGGGGCTCCTCGACATACGTGCCTCAGCAGACAGGGCTTACCTTCAGACAGCATGCTCAGCGCCTCGTCGGAGGTGTGCCCGCCCACACGCTCCACCTTCCTGCAAGTCGGATGCTCACGGGGCACGCGGGAGCCCTCCGGGGACAGGCAGGTCCGCTCCGCAGCAGAACTCACCACGGACTCCCACTGAATCTCCTTCCTGGGGGACTGAAACTGCAGGCTGCATCCCGTCCAGCCGTAGAAGGCCAAGGACAAGAGAAATCCTTGGGCTGGATTCAGTATCCCCTGGGAGGCAGGAGGAAAGGACGCGGGTCGGTCGGCGCCGCGGACTGGGAATTAGAGCATCATGTCCACTCGCGCACCCTCTGGGCCACCTCGTGTGGAAGTGAGCCGCTTGGCTGGTGTGGGGCACGACGAAGACTGGCTTGAGGCACTGCACCTTCCAGGGTGGCTTGGCTCTCCGACAGAGAGGCGCTTTCCATCTTGTGCTCGCGAGTCGGAATTTGATTTAACGAAGGTACCCAAGGCCAAAAATGAGTCTAGAGAACATTCCTCCACTTGGTGTGGTGAGTGGCCATGAAGTGAACCAAAGGAACCAAGTGAAACTCCAAAGCAAAGGGGTGGAGGCAGGGAACGCTGGTCTTATTATAATTTCAGTACGCACAACTGGCAGTGAGTGGGCAGAGGCCACATCCTCTTATTATAACGTCCTCATGAGTCAGATTCTCCCTGATTCTGCAGCAACATATATTTCAGTTCTGCACAGGACAACCCATACGTCTCCACTAACACTTTTGTCTCTTCATTATGAATGCAATACAATGGAAACCTTGGGAGAATGTACTCATGCGGTTTCCACCTTACTCCCATGTTGTGTATTTCTATCCAATGTTTTTTCACACACTAACGTGTTATTCTGTAGTTGTAACTAGCCTGATTTTTATATCTTGCATTTTTCACTGAATACTAGAGATCTCATAACTGTCACATTTAACACCTGCATAGCATTCCGTCGAGATGAAAAAATGTAATTTACTTAGCCATTCCCTTGTATTTCTTTAATTTGGGTTGCCTATAATGCTTTTTTTTTTTTTTTTAAGATCTTATTTATTTATTTGACAGAGAGAGCACAAGCAGGTGGA